ACAGATCTTTGTTAGTAGAACCTGTGTAATAAAATAGACCATGTTAAAAAAAAGCCCTTAATTGATTAGCTATGCATTAGTGTAGAAGTCAGACATAAACCTTCATGAGCATGGTTTAGTTGGATTACGGTATGGTCATTGATAGGGTTCGGTCCAGGTTTAGTCCTCAACAAAAGTTCCACTTATTTAGTGGATCAGCTCTTAGTTTGAATAAATCTGGATGCTATCTACTGCAAATATATTTTGATACATGCAGTGCATTTTCATTTCACAAATTAGGCCAGATGCTGATAATGTGATTAGGGATTGGGAGAATCTTCAGCAATTACAATACTTCCTTCTTAGGCTAGTTCGCTGATGGTGCCATTTCCTGCTTAGGCATTTTTCTTAGTACATAGCAATGTAGAAAGAGGACAAATAAATAAAGTTCCAAGGCATATAATTCTTGGATCATCAGTATTTGTCCACAATGGGCATTAGGAAAAAGGTGTTGCACAGTTTGAATTAAAAAAGCCTAACTCTTCAAACCACGTTGGAATTTATTGTTTGATAAACTTTAATAAGAAAGCAGTGGAGGTTAAATATGCTTAGCATCTCTAAGCACACTTTCAATAAAGTATGAGTTCACTTAATAATATTAGGATCTTGCTGTTCAGCATTTTTAGTCTTTTTCTTTAAATGTATGAGTTAAACACATCTTTGGTGCTCTGGCTTGATGATGCCTGTTGCTTTCTTGCTTGCTTTGTTAATTTTATTTTATTTATATCCATGCTTCCCTTCATTAAGTAGATTCCAGGGTGATATGCATAGATGCATACAAAATTATTTGACCTAAATGCAAATAAAATAAATAATTACTAACTAAAATTATGATTGCTAAGGAAAAAGCAATTACTGATTATAAAAGCTATCAGCAAACTATGACAATGTAACCAACCCTTTGAAATATCAGGATAAATAGAAACATTCAGTCTGGTGCCAGAAATATTATAATTCTACCACCATTTTGTATATCTTATGGAGAAGGTAGTGCAGATCATTGTCTCCATAAAGTGTACTAGCCATAAAGTATGAATTGACTGGTATTGTTTCTATCCCTTTATTAAGGAGTAACAGTTTTATGTCCAGGATTGTTCACTCTCCACCCATATTTGATGGCATTGTATTATTCCTTCATTTGAGTCCCAAGATGAAGGTTTAGCTCCATACGTATTCAGCTGGTTTAAGAGTGAATTGTATGAGTGGGTAGCAGGTACCACTGTTTAGATTTAAAATTTTAAAAACACATCTGCTTGATATTGGATAAGATTAAAAACATATCTCCATAATCCATTCAGCAAACAAAACTCTCTGGCTTTTAAAAGGTCATCAGCAGGTTTTATCTCTGTCCCACTGAAGGGTTTAAAATAAAACACAGTCAGTTTCACAGCCGCATGAATCAGGAAATCTCAAATTCATGCTCTTATACTGTCAGCATGTGGGGTGGTACTACTGTTATACCTCTGCACTGATTTGATTGCAGCTGTTGTGGTTTTATTAGTTTTATTGTTTTATTGTGCTTGTGTTACTCTCTCTGTATGCTTTTAACTTTTGTTAACCACCCAGAGAGCATTGGGCTATTGGGTGGTTTAAAAATGAAACAATAAACAAATAAACAAACTGTGTTACTACTGCTAAATGTACATTTTTAATTTCCTGGATGCTGTTGATTGTACTATAATTCCAGAGGGGCAGGTCTGTTGTAGCAAAACAAGAGAGATTCTTGTGGCACCATAAAGGCTGACAGATTTTTTCTTGCCTCAGCTTTTCTAAACACTGCCCACTTCATCACTTGATAATTCCAAACATTAGTAGCTGTGTGTTTGGACATGATGCTCAGAATACTTAAGAGTAATCATATGGTGCAATTATGGAAGGAAGTGGCTCAATGCTTGTAGCATTTGCTCCACCGCCAACAGAATACCTTTTATTAAGGTTGCAAAAGACTTAGCAACTCATTATCATTTGTCTTTCACTCATTAACAGCAATTCTTTAACTCTCTAAGGCAGCCACCCCACCTGTAGTGGGGTGGCTACAGGTCCCAACCCTAAGGAACTGTGTTGGGATTGCTGCTTTTAAGGCAACCTGTTTCCCAGCTGGGTTTTGTGCCTTGGCTTTCAGAGACAAGCTGGGATAATGAAACACATCTACTGGATGCACATCTGTGATACATTTGTGCAGTTCCAGTACTTCACTAAGTTTATATCTTCATTTGTGCTTTTATTTCCAAACACAGGGTAAGGAATGGATGGCATAGGATGTGATGTGGGTGGCATAACCAATGGTAAGGGTTGATAAAGTCTGGAACACAACTGATTCCTTGTTCCTGAACATCTAAGAAACAATAAGACACTTAAAAAAAACAGTGAATAAGAATTTCCTAACTTTTCTCACAGAAATTGAATTAAATTAGAATCAGTTTGCCATTGTGTCCCAGGAATGAAACTTAAGACGCATCCAAAACAGGAAAGAGATATCAGCATATATTTTGTATATTAGAATTCATTTCTCAGCCCTTTGGATATTGACTGATGCAGGCACATGAATTTGACAGCACTATAAATTAAGTAGCTTTAAATTCCTTCTTTCTCTGATATGACATACTTGGCAGTGTAAAAGCAATCTCAGTTGAATAATAGGGCTGATAGAACCTTCGCTTCTTTGGGAAATCAAGAGCATACTTTCAAATACTGAAAACTAAATTACCTGCTCAGTGTGTGCTTCAGGACACACCGCTATTCGGATACATTCGTACATTGTTAAATGCTACAGCCAAACTGGCGATACAGTCATGCATTTTGTACGGTCTGAAGTGAAGAGTGAACATGCCTCCTGTGCTTGCTAGGCATTTCTGTTCCGTAATGGTCAATGGAGACTGAATTCCTGGTGGGGTCATTTGGGTCAATGGGTTCTATTTAGAAATCTCTTAATTATCCTTTATAGAAGACTTTATTTGCCATGTCGTTCCCATATTGCCAGTGTTCAAAATATTTGTTCAGGAGAAGGAGGCGGAGCTATTGAAAATGAGGCACATCATGTAGAAAAATGTCAAGCAAAATAGTAAAGCTCTTTGATTCTTAGAGGGAGAGTACTGGAAAAAGAAAGCGCCCTTTTTGAGAGAAAAGGGTGCAGCACCCTGAAAGTGTGCTGGACGAGAAGTGCAAGACAGCGTGGCGCTTGTTCACTTTCCACATTATCACACTGGCAGCTGCTGAGAAGCAAAAAGTTTTCCCCCCTAGCACACAAGGAAGAGTTACACCAGTTGCATTAAACCCTTTGGAGGGAAATTTGTTTTCAGTGTAGCAAGTTTCCATTTGTTCCTTATTTTAAAAAGATGTGTTTTGCATATTTAAGAGAAAATTGCACATTTCAGGGAATTAAGGGAAAGTACTTCCTATTTTTATCCTGTTGGTGTCTTCAACAGATCAGTGGCAGGAATATGACTTTGTATAATTTGTCATTATATTTATGGGTGTGTTTTTGGACAGAAAAGAACACTCTTTTGTACTAATATATATACGGCAGATACCTATGGCAGAGGAAAAACTCAATTAGGATTTATGAATTGGGATTATTTTAAGAATCAAGACATTCCAAGTATTATGGGAAGACAAAAAATTGAAACAAGTGGGACAATCATTGGGTGGAGTCTATAGTTAGTCCCATCTCACTTGGCTAGTGGGAGTATGCTTCCCTCCCTCCTCTTCCTTGCAGCATAAAGCACAACAGCCTCCCAGAAATTCTGCACAGAGAGTTGGGAAACACTTGCAGGGGACAGAGAAGGAAAGGGGTTATCCTAGAAGATTAGGTGAGTCACCTGTGACTAAAGCTGCACTCCCAGAAGTGCCGCCATCTAATAATTGATCACCCACATTGCATCCACCATTCAGGGTTCCCCGACCCTCTCTGTTCCTTTTTCATTCAGGTGGGGGAGGGCTGCTGTGGAGACGAGGGGCAGAGTCCCACATCCACCTCATGTTCCTGACTCTAGAACCAAGCCATGGATATTTCACAAGGTCACTGGCTGAATAGGTTTTCTGGCTTATTTCTAATAATGCCTTGGTTTTGACTGCTCTTCCTAATTAATAATTGTTATTATTGCTGGTTGTGTTAAGTTCACTATATTGGATTTATGTTCTTATCTAGATTATGTATTCCATGTGTGTGTTTTTATCTATTAAGGATGAGATCCAGGCACGTGCTTATACAGCAAAGCTTGTGGAAGGGAGCCTGCCTGCCCTCACCACACCAACTGTCTCTTCAGCCCTTGGCAAATGAGACGCTGTGCATCAGGAGGGCCTGCTAGATGGGGTGTGCTCTGTGGCTGTGGAAGGGAACCCTCAGAAAATCAGGCAACTCAGAAGGCCTCCACCTGCTGCTCACCGATTCTCTTACATACAGCCCACTACATTCAGCAGAGTCCCCACTGCACCCTCCGTGTAACACTTTCAGAAGGTTGGAGGGGCTTCTTTGAGGCGGGTCCCCATCCACTGGATCTGATCAGAAAGGGGGCACTAGATGGGAATGCCATTGTTTGCGCTTCTGGATGCTTGGGAAGAAGTGCCATTTGGAGAATGGGAACTCTGCTGCTTTTGAAGACTCCATTTAATCCAGTCCAGAGTATAAAATGCAGTTCAAGCCATCTGAGAGGAATGGTTTAACTTTGAGTCCCGCACTGAGCAGGAAATTGAACCCAATGACCCTCAGGTCCCTTCCAGCTCTATTATTTTATGATCCTATAAGTGTTAATTTGTCACAATCCAGTGAAAGTCATGCATTGATCAATTGATTTTAGTGGAACATAAATGGAACTACCTTGGGTTAGAGCTAATATTTACTAGCATATATAAATTGGGAGAAATTTGTGAGTTGTACTGTTTGCTTTTGTGTTAGGAGAAAAACATTTCACATGCTTTTTTAATGCTCACTACTCCTGATCTTTTCCCCTATTGTATTTCAGCTTGTTAGCGATTTGTTGGAATTCTGTTTCTACACCTTCCGAGAATCTCAAGCTCTGAAAGTGGAGTTCCCAGCTATGCTGGTAGAAATCATCAGTGACCAGTTGCCCAAAGTGGAATCTGGGAATGCCAAGCCCCTCTACTTCCACAGGAAGTGACAGAAATTGTCTTAATGGATAAAAACACAAAACTTTGCCTTAAGTTTCCCTGTGCTATTCCACACCCATGAAGGACCCAAGAAGCCACATATAAAATACGTTATAGAAAATTGTTCAAAAGTACCTGCATACTCTTAAAAACTATAGGAAATGTTTGGAGGACAGAAAGCAGTTTATCTGAACTTGGTCAGACAAACTTGTCGAGAGGTTTGAGAACCATCATCCTTGCCCCTCCCCTTGCCCTCCAACACTTAGAACATCATGTTCCTGTTCCTCTGGATGAAAAGCCATATCTAGTCAAATAACTCTTTGATTTTGATATTTTAAGAGTTGAACATTTTAAATATGCCATGTAGTTTCTGGTATCGTTTGCTTGTTTTAAAAGGGTTCAAGGACTAATATGAACTTTTTAAAAGCTTACTGTTGGTTTGCACATAAAACAAAGTCAATATGGGGCATTAATTCTTGTACTACACAAACACACACACACACACACACACACACACCCCTATACACACAAATTTCTGGATGTGTAAAATAAGTAATGGAGCATTTGGTGTGGAATACTCTTGGTCTATTCACCGGCGGCATTTGTTATCCCATATTATCCATCATAGCTGATCTACACTGTGTTAAGTGTTCATTTATTATTTAACTTGAAAGGATAAGATGTTAAAACAAATGCCTCAGTTTTGATTTATAGTATCTATTGTGCTGGCTTTACCAATAATTTTTTGCAGTCTTTTGCTGTACTGTACATTGCTGTATGTATAAATTGAAGGACCTGAAAAAATGGTATAAGGAACTTTTGTAAATGAGACCTAAAAATCTTTAATGGTTAATAGGATGAATGGGAATGTATTTTTGGAAGAATTCTATTTTGCTGGAGACTATTTAATTACTCTTTTTGTCTAAACAAGGTAATTTTTTTTGTAAAGTGAATTGTTCTGCATGCATAATGAACCGTTTACAGTGTATTTAAGAAAGGGAAAGCTGTGCCTTTTTTGCATCATATCTAATTTACCATCTGACAGTGTCTCTTGTAAATAACCACCCATCACCATTTTCAGTTGTACTTCCCATTTGTTTCTGTCCCTCTTCAACCATGTATCCTTCTCTTTTCTGGTATTTCTTTGCCGATTTTACATGACCTGAGTGCACCAGGTTTTGCTTCATACCTCTTTCTTTGCAGCTTTATGCACATTTCATCTACCAAGATAAACTACAAAGGGCACAAGCCACCAGGAGGTTATCCTGCACAGGTCCCATCAAAGTGAATGAAGCTGTGGTTGAGTGGAAATAATTGTCCATTCATTTCAGTGGAGGTTGCTCAAAACTGCTTTCTGGTGAATTGTGTCCAGAGTCAGCACAGACAGTTCCAGGATGAAATGACATTCTGCTCACCAGTCTGTGTAATTCAGAAGCCATGATCCAACACACTGGCAAACCTAGGCTAAAATCCTATGACACTTTCCTGAGAGTAAGTCCTGTCGAACTCAGTGGGATTTACTTCTGAGCAGACATGTTTAGGATTACGGTCCTTGATTTCAGTGCAACTTTTGGTGCCTAATTGTATGCCAAGATTGTGGCTAAACGGAGAAAGTTATTTTTTTCTGTTATTTTAAATCTGAAATGTACATAAACTACAAACATTTGGACTATAAATCTGAATATGAATGCTTGAGAAAATAAAATATCAAATTCTAGGCAAATTTGGAATGATGTAACTCATTGTGGGGAAAAAAGGTGCTATATGATAGGGGTTTTACACCTAGCCCATATTTGGAATTACGATCTTTAATACAATATCCACATAACTGTTTATGCTTGCCACCTCAGTTAGTTAAATGATTTTAATACTTTTACAAATCATCCCTAAAATTCAACAAATACTACATTTACCTTTTATATCTGGATTTTTCTCAAACTAATTTATGGGCTGACTTTATACAGATGCATCTTTCTGGAGTGTCCCTGTTTAGACATTGCAGTTTGAAAAATTCCTGTGATCATTGATAATAACACAAATGTAAAAAGAATAATACACGGGGTTTTATTTCTCTGCACCTGTATCTAGGCAAATTTATTTTATCTGGGAGAGGTAAGAAGACTTAAACTGCAATCCTATGTACATTTACTCAGTGGTAACCTCTACTGAGTTCAGTGGGGCTTACTCCCAGTTAGGTGCACATAGGACTGCAGCCTTAGGTGTACTCAAGTTTTGGATATGCCCAGTGCAATTTTTCCTGGCCTATTGAACATCAACTACTGTTGAAACTATCTTCAGTTTCAAATGTTATTTGACATGGAGAGGAGTATAAGCCCCAAATCTCCTTAGGCCAATAAATTTGTTCCTTGGATCCTAGTGTTAAGTTCTCAACAAACATACATCAAATTTCTGAAATCTGAGTGTGTTCACACATCTGATCAACAATATGCAAACATTTCTAGTAGTCTTTTTAAATTGCACATCTTGCTGAATAGAAGACCTGCATGAGGATATACTTAAAATCAATAAAAATGTACAGATATATTTGGTTGGGTCTTGAGAAAGGAAGTGGAATTAGCCATGACTTAGTTTCCACTGAAATCAGTGGAACATGACATAGTTAAGATCCAACCTGTTTTTTGCAGTTTTGGAAATCCATAAAACTACAACTTTGATCTGCACAGCAATATGAAAGTTGCACTTGTAAAGTGACAAAAATACACAGCATGCAGAGTGGATGTTTATAATAAAGAAGTGGTCACACATCTCCCTTTCATTTACTTAAAAAAAAAGAACCCATACTGAATTGGAATTTCAAAGTATGCAGTTTTGTGGTAAATGCAGTATGTGGCTGCTTTTTTAAAACAAGTGTTACTCAATCCGTTTCTATCTCTAAGTAAGTTTGCCTGATTAAAATATTAAAGCCATATTCTTTTTTAAAAAATCCAGTTAAGTGTCTGTCCCAATTCACATTGTTGTCTGATTGCTCTTATTTTTGTACCTTATTGCATTTACTCTTGGTTTGGTACAATTCATAATTCACAGATGTGTCGTAAGAAAAACACTAAATTAGTTTTAAATAACAATTTATATCTTTATGCAAAATATATGTCTGTCTTTGCAAACAATTGTAAGCAGATTATAATAAACCCTTTACTTTAATCACCTGTTTATGAAACCATTGATTATTGCTTAGAAATCATTAAAATGAAATTTAAATGAAAAAGCATGGTATCAGGAGTACATTGTACTTTAGAATGACATAGGCATCTGTCTCCTGCAAAATAAGATGAACTTGAACTTCAAAATGTCAAAATGATAAATGGTGTTGATTGAGTGTAATGATTTTGTGGCAATGAATGAATGAAATATACAGCAAGAACATTGTATTCATAAGTAAATGTAAAATAGTTTTAATTTACTGCAGTGGGTATTTCAAGAATAATAATTGCATTGCAGTGTGTAACCATTTTGTTGCACAGAACAAAACAGCAAAAAGACTAAAAGCTTGCAATATCAAAATCTTAATAAAATATACTTTATAATCAATAATGCAAAAATCTAATTCACAGGGTGGTATTTTCACTGACTTTTTAAAACATTTATGACTTTAAACCATTCTACATTTTATGCACTTTTAATTGTCTACTATAAATATGACATTTTGTAAGAGGGAGAGGGAGAGTGAAGTGGAGGATACCATTTCAACTGGCAGGGGGGTAACCGATAGTGAGCAAGTGCAATGCCAGGGTTCTCAGATTGTTTCAGAGTTCATGGAGCTGAAGAGCACATTTCACTGGGAACTTACACTTGTGTAGGAAAAGTTTTTGGTGGGCTCTGTCCTAATTATATTATTACTGGATGAAAACTAAAAAGCAGCCAGCAAGATGGTGTGAAAGAGGAACATCTATGCATAATGATGCATTAATAATTAGAGGCTTGCTTCTGTATGTTTAAACTTTTTGAATAAATAGAAAATTACTCTTTGGCCTTTATGTTAATGTCTTTAAGTACGTAGTTTTTATAAGTTGTACAAATATACACAGATTAAAATGGTGTGATTACAGGTATTCCTTCTACTTTGATACTGACTGCACTAATTTGATGATGCATCTGTTACTTTGGAAATATGCCCTAGAGTGAAATGCTTTAGGTGTGTAACTCTTCTATTCCCTACACTTGTGCATTTATGCCTTTGTAGTAAACAGGGCTGCAATGATACATTGTTCCAGCTGGTTTGACTATGCAGGGTATGTCCTTGAAATTAAGAGTAGGGCAAAGCAACCCATACCCTTACTACTGGATTTTAACCAGTACCTAAGATTGAGGCTGCAAGACTAAGACTATAAGGAGACCCATACTGGATCAAACCCAAGGTCTACCTAGCCAACCAGTTGCCAACTGGAATCCCACAGACATCAGTGCAACAGCACCCACACATTCATGTTCTCCAGCAACTGGTGTATATAGGTGCATAACTTCCAATATTGCTGTAGTAAATAGCTATTCTCTATGAATTTATATAATTTCCCTTTAAAGCTGGCTAAGATGTTGCTACATCTTATTAAAGGTGAATTACATCATTTTAACCTTGCAGTATGTGAAGAAGTACTTCCTTTTATCTATGTTAAATCACCTACCAGTGAGCCTCATGGGATGACCCACCCCATCTATTATGGAAGAGGGAAAGGAATGCCCCACTATTCATCGCTCCACAGTATGCATAATTTTATCATGTCTTTCCTTACCTTTTTTTCTAAGCTAAACAATCCCACTTGTAACATTTCTTCAAAATTGAGTAGCTCCAACCTCTTGATCAGTTTAGATGTTCTTCATTGTTGTTGCCCTTGATAGTGGTAAGTGCCTCAAAATATAAATTGCATGTTTCCATCTGCTTGCATCTTCCTTGTGCAAGCTTGTGCTGCCTTTTGTTTTTTTCACTTAGGCAAGGCTCCCATCATTGATAGAAAGTCTTCTTTTCTCTAATTGTTTTCTTGACACTGCTAATTAACCACACTATGGACCTTTCAGACTTCCTGCTTTCTTATCCCGTGGTATATATTTTACCTGAGCTTCTATTACTGTGGGTTTTTGCAACCTCCAACTCTCTTGACTCTTCCTTTCAATTTCCTTTTTAGTTGTTTATTTCAGATAAGTTTTGCTTTGGAAGTCCTTGGAACGCTAATGGGACTTACTCCTGAGTAGACATTGTAGCTTGTTACGAGCTGAACCAGATGGTTAATGCTTCCAAAGATCGCAGCTCTGACAAGTTTTCCATCTAGAAGATGGTATGTTTCACATTATGGATTGGCATGAATACAAATTAATTACAGCAAACCCTGTACAATGGGATAGCTCATGAACTACCCCAGTACAGCGATAATGTGAAACTGGGGAGATGTGCATCATGGGAGGAGGCTGTTGGACTACAGTACTACTGTCTACCACTTGAGAGTGCAAATCGCTTCATATTTACAGAATAGTTCCAAGAAAGGGGAAAATAAATTCTTTTACACAAAATACTGACAATTGCATTGTAGAAGCAGGGACAAATGTCTGTTCTGGCTTCTGCACTGTGGCCCTTACTTGACAGAATGGAAGATGAGGTCCTTTGGCTTGATGTAGATAATTTCCATGCAGCCAATCCTATGGAATTTGTTAGGGTGGCATCAGCGCTATAGTATGCAAGTTGAGAGAATGTAAACACTTTTTAAAAGTTATACTACCAAAATGCACATCACTGTGATCAGAGGGCAAGCTTATATATTGGCTGTACACAGACAAAAACTCTGCATCGACTCCACAGGATCCTAATCAGTGTGGAGCAATTTATCCCCAGCACATAACTGAGACATTCTCCTTCTGTAGGTTATGCTGGCAGTATGGGAACCACTGTAGCATGGAGCCTTCCCATGCCATTCAGTATGCAAGAATTCCTAGGAACTGTCACTTTCTGGGAAAAAGCAATTATCCAGGATTATGGGCCTCCTTTATATTACACCTCAACAGCTTAAGAAATAGTTGTTCTCCAGCTGCAACTGGCACAACACCAGCACAAGGTAAGGCAACAGTGTTTCTTAAACACAGCAGTTATGAGGAGGGATTATGCATGGAGGTGCCTCCACACAATCTGGAGTGTTGTAAGCTCAAGGTCACATTTATGAAGATGAAATTGTGCATACAACCCATTCACATTGGCAGTAAACATGGGGGGTCCAACAGGCAAGATCAGGCAGCCCCACTTTAGTTTGGAAGGGGGGGAAGTTTGAAATAGTTTATATTGATACCGCATGCGTTTGTCTCTCCATCACTCTTGAAATAGTTGGAAACGAAGACAACCTGATTTCCATTACATTATGCCACAGGCATCTGCACCGTTTTTGGTCACATTTCCAAACTGCCTGATGATCTCCCAAGTAGAATCACCTTAAAGCTATCTGGCAAGGATTATAGCCTCAGACACAAAGAACTATATTAATGCCCCACAGCCTGGGAGCATGCCAGCTGGACTAGGGTAGCAGTGTTACATTGGATCGCAACTGCACCATCTGGAAATAATTTGTGTACACTCTTGAGGGCCTTACAGTTCTGGGCAAAAGAACAGACAATGATTGTCAGTTAAACCTTTTGTTAAAAGAAAGAACCCAAAAGGATAGTTAACTGTGACATGTTTTTCAATCAAATTTTAGGTAGACAATCTTTTTTTAAGCTTACCAGGATTACAGATTTTGTACACTTGAAAAAGCATTTTCTATTAATATTAAATACAATCTTGAAGCAGATCAATATTTGCTTTTTCTTCATTAAGGTAGCTGTTTTATTGGCTAAACCAGTACAGTGTACAGACTACACAAACTAGGCTTAGACTTTGATGTAGAGGTGAACATTCCACCTCCTTTACGTATCTGCATCAAGTTTTATTGTGAGCAACATGTGAATATACTCTGCCAGCATTGCGAAGAAGGCTGTGATCTTGAATCTTCATTTGTTTGTCATAAGAACTTTCTTGGGGGAGGGTGAAGTTGGGTGACAATGTAGGGACCCTTTGATAGCAACAGAAGTTTGCAACCAATCCATTTTAGAGAAACTCTTCATAGACGCATTAACCAACCCTTGTCTTAAGAATGTGTTTCTTCTTCTTTCCACATAGTGCACATGGCTCAACCTAGCCCAGTCAACCTTCATGCCGACAGAAGAACCCTGGCTTCATTTGCTGCATCATCTCTTGTATGTGTACAGGGTTAATTGTGCACTGGGCATGTACACATGGCACTCTGTGCTAGTCTAAGCCTGATCCATATGTGTACCACTTTAGATAGGTTGGAAGGAACACTTGGAGCACTGTCAATAGCCCCCAAAACATGAGGACTCCTGCCAAAGCTAGCAACAACAACCTTTTCTTTGGTTTACAAACAGGCAACACACTAGCACATAGCAGGTTCTGGGGACTAGCAACAAGCCCGTTAAAATAATTTTGCTTGCTTAAAATGTTTTATACTGCTGAATAAATCAAAAGAAGCATTAGGGACTAAGCTTTTAAAATCTTTTCCCTTTAATCAAATATCCCAACTGATTTTGCTGAGCTTACTCTCTTATGAAGCAACTTTGGATACGTCATGGCCCTCAACAGCATGATGTTACTATTAGACCAGGTTCATACTCTGTGACAGCAAGATGTGCTTTTTACAGACAAGAACTTTCATGTCCCTCATTTTCAGCTCAGATTCAGTGCCTTCCATTGAGACAGCGCACACGTTTGACACAGAGACATCAAACACTTAGTGATCGGATAATGAAAGATCATATTATGTACATGCATGCGTGAACAAATGAGTCATCTGAGTACTGACATTGTCTCTGTCTGATTGAGGGGGGACCCCCCACACACACACACAAAACCATGTTTTAAAGAATTGGATTTAGATGACTCTGGTCATAGCAGATAGGTAATACATATGAAAATACACACCACAAGTGAATACTATACTAAGCTTTTGTTTCTTTTTGTTCAAGATTCTTGTGATTTTAAACTAATATTTTACAGTCTTTCCAATTGTGTGACAGCTGGAAATAGGCAGTGTCTAAGTTATCCCTGATAGCACAAAATGTTAGGTGAACAAGGCCCAACTAGATGCAACATGCAGTCAAGTGTATCTTTTCTTTAAATTCCCAAAGCAGCTGAGGCAATTGAGGGGGTTGGCAAGGAAGCTGCTTCAAGGTTACCCTCCTCCCTGCTTTTCTCCACTGCCACCCATCCAGCTGCTTTCAAATAGTGCCAGCAAACTAAGGATACCCTGCTTTTTCCCCCATGGGAGGAAAAGGAGCTAGGGGAAGGAACATTTTAAGCAGAAATACAGATTTATGAGAACAAGTTAAGCAGCTCTTCATCTTAAGCCTCAGGACTAAGGAAAACCAAAGCAGTGTTGAGGAAAAGGTACAAGTAAGTGCATGACACATCTTTTTGGGGCCTCAGTAAAAGTGTATTTACATGAACAGATTATCCGAAACAGTAAGCACATTTCTCACACACAGCAGACAGAAAGTTATTCAACATTAAGCTCACTTTGGTTCTCTTGCCACTCAGATGAAGGTAGAACAATATATGGAGTGGATAATCTAACTACCATTATGTCTAAAACATAGGAGTGAAGCCACAGAATTTATATACATTTTTCATCACACTGCAGCTCAACTTTCCCTTTGAAAACAAGGGGAAATTAATGGACAATTAATACAGGAGTAGTTCTGTTGCAGTTCTCACAAAGGCACCAGCATAAATTGTTAATGGATTTTCAGTAAATGACCTTCCAGCAATTTCTGTTTCTGGTATTTTCAGATGGGGGAACTGAAAAAGCATCTCTCAAATGTTAAGAATTCAAAGGCAAGAACAAACATTCTTGTACAATCTTCCTTTATAACAATTGGTTCAGAAATCATCCAAGTTTGGGAATTAACATTAATAGTTATCTTACAAACATACATAATAATCATTACTCTTTATAAACATAAAGAAGTATTTATAAAATCAAACCACCCTCCCCACTGTATAAAATTACATGAATCACAACTGTGTCATTCTTATTAGGCAAGACATAACACAGAGGATGATCTTCGTCTCATTGTCAAGTTCACTGATTAAAAGCATTTCAACCCAAGAGAAACAACTGTATCAAAAGAAAACGGAAACAAACAACCATGGATACCATGTACATTTCCAGGAATTGGTGCAGAGAACTAAAGAAGTTGGACGTAGTTTTCAGGAATGAGCCCTCTCTTTCCATTTAGAGTTCCTTCTAGCCAGCCAGGTTCTCGTGAAAAATGCACTGCAGAAGGGAGAAAGCAGAACACAGACCGCCTGCTGTTAAACTGCGAGTTATGGCAGCACTCAAAGGTACAGCTTCGCTCCATGAAACTCTCCAGGAAATCTCTAACCTGGCCCTTAGGGCAGTTACAGACAGAGATCCTTTGAAGTAGAGCTACAACTTAATTAATTACACCCTTGTCTGAGGGCCACCAAACTACATATGTCCCATAGGAAGTAGTACTTAAGATGGCACTTAAACAGAACAAAGGGGAAAAGCTGTCTTGAAGGCTTAGTGGAGATGCAGGAATGGGAATGGGCAGGAAAGCCACAGGAACCACCAACAAACAAGGTGGAACACACTGTAAAAGGTGCTAAAAAACCTAGTCTTTCAGAAGCTTCATTATGCTTGACCTGCTTGAAAAATAATGCTATTTAACTGTTTGGAAATCTGGCCCTGTCACCTTGCCCACCACCCCACCTCTTTACTTTGTTTTTCTGATCACAGTAAGACTACCCAGTCCAACAAAGAAGCCTTTGGTACCAAACCTGATTGCATCTAGTCTTGGGAAGCTGCTCAGATAGGAAGGCAATAAGTCATTAACACCCAGAGTTCTCAAGAATTAACGTTATGTATAGAAGGGAATGAAGGCTGGTTTTCCAAAACGAAGTTGTGCTCCATAAATAACAGTGTAAGACATTAACGCAAAGGCTCCTTGACTCCAGAAAATCCTACACAGCCCCATCCTCTTCCTACTGAGAGTCCAACAAACATTACCCCCTGCACTTTTCAGCCTATTTTTGCAACCAAGATGGTGAGAAATGTATATCCATTCAAACAATTTCTCAGTTTGGTCAATTTTGCCAACATACTGAATTCTGTGTTTGTGAAGATTACTGAAACACACAAGTTCTGAATGAATAGCATACAGGGAAAGAAGATGATATAGGGCAAGAAAGTCATTATTGATAGAATCTAAGCAATAGGATATAACAAGGTAATATGTGAAACTGTTTAAAATAAAAAATAAACACAGTAAGGATTTAAAAATCTAACTTGTCTACATTGCTCTCAAATTGCCTGACATGGATACACAAGTACTCAACTATGTGGCAAGCTCATAAATGAATAGGGGGTTATTCATTCAAACTAACACTAGGGTAGGATCTGCAGAAGTCATGGGGATGCTTGAATGGAACAATATCTGGTACTGATGCCAAGAGGCACCCTTGCCAAAAGCTTTAAAGCAGGCCTCAACTTGCCCAGTCCCATACATTTAAGTTAATGACATTCAAGCATGTGCAGGTACAGGGCTGGCCTTTCCATGAAGCAAGGTGAGATGCGTGCATGAGGCAGGAGAGCGTGAGGAAGGACATACTGCACTATTCCCTCATCTCCACCCTAGTCCTGGCCCTGAAATCCCCCACTGCTAGCACTGGAAGAGGCTCTTTTCTGATGTGGCACTTGCTGCAGTAAGAATGTGGTTGGTGGGGCTGTTTGGAACAGCCAGAAGTCCTCTGCTGCTACAGGGCTTGGATGAGGTCTCAGAACATGGTCAGCAACCTGATGAAGATCAGAACATCCACCATTTGACATGACATTTCTTAAGACACTATCTAATTTTTTTAAAGCACCTTGCTTCATTAATTTCACTCAACCACCCTGCTGGCACAAATCCTCCTTCCTGCCACCAGCCCCATCCTGGAAATCCCACCACTTTCCTTTTGTTGCTGAGTGGGGGTTCTCCAGGCTGGCAGACATAGCAGAAACAGCTTGCACCATGGCAGCAGGGAGTGAGGGCTGCTAAAGTTAGTGAAAGTTCTGTTTCAGGCAGCTAAAGTGCTCATCCAGGGCCTCTATCAGTAGCACAGCAACACTGCAGTAACTGAGCAGTACCAATGGGGTGAATCACAGAAGACAGTGACACACTTTGCAAGATGGAAGAAATTCTTTCCTACTTCACTAGTCACAGCAAACATTCTCTTGAGAAGTGAATAAAACTATAATAAGTAAGAGAGCCAATTACAGCAGCTCAAAGAAAAATAACATTCTGGGTCTTGTGTCTTTCAACATTGACTTCACCTTTTAATGCTAATGCCAAAAAACTGAAAATGTTGCTGCTTATACATAAAAGAAATGTTTCAAGATGACAGATTCAGACATAAATCCATACAGCTTCAAAAATCACAACAATCACAACACAACTGACATACTGAAAATGCAGTTCATCATGGAAGATTTTGATTAAAGTTTCTGATTAAAAAGAATAACATTCCCTTCTCAAATGGAAAATTAAAACCAGTGTTAATAATTAGCATGCCATTTATCCTTTTGTCATTTCCACTGCATGGTTACAGAATATGAACATATTTTGAGTGGAATATTCTGACATCACCACAAAAAGTTAACAAAAAGTCTCCAAAAAGTGGCTTTGCAGCAGCTGTGATTCTATCCCATGCATATCAGGAATGCCAAGACATTACACTCATCATCCATTCTATACATTGTCAGTATGCAAACAGATAGGACAGACGATCTTTACTAAATGTCACTGTAAAGGTTACAATACAGTTGGCCCATTTTATTCATATCAAGAAGCCCCAAGTTTGCATCATAATTATCACTGGAAACGTTGCCAATGGGGAGGCTGATATAGCAACTTGATAACGACTAGACCAACTGTGTTAACTACTCAACTACCCATTTAATTTTGGAAAACAAATATTTAGACTTTTTTCTGTTTTTAGTGATTTATCAATAGTAGATTATATTCAACAGAAATAATTTGTGGTGAAGCAACTGCCACAGTTCAGTGCACCCCTGAAAATTGCTGTAAAATTATTTTACTCTGCTGTGATAAATTTGTGACTGATCACAAATGTTCAGGTTTACCAAGAAAAAATAAGAATGGGTAGAAAAGAATGGTTGCATGAATTAGTTTCAGACCTAACTTTAAGGAAAGAATACTGGGTGAACAAATCCCAGTTACTTGAACTCTGGAATTTAAATATTACTTCTTTCAATTGGTTTAGTTCAGAGGCAATTCTGAACAAATTCAACTTAGGCAAATTCTGCTTAGATGCTCACTATTGAAGAATCAGATCTAGGTTTCTCTGCCAGTTTCATGCCCACATGGGACTTTTCTGTGCTATGTCTGGCTAAAGGCAATGACATTTGTCAGTTTTACAAAAACAGCTTTATTCACAAAACACAGAGTCTAAAAATGAGAACTGCAGCTACATAGAAACTGAAATTGATGGACTTAGGCATAACTGACACTGTGTTGGATTATGGCATCTGTATGTAACATGATATACGCACACCTTCTGACACACTAACTGAAATCTTTACTGTGTGCAAAGTCTATTCAGCTTCCATTTTAATCACTTAAGCTATTTTAGTCCCACTAAAGTTGGTGGCAGAGAAGTAATTTCAAAGTAAGCTGGGAATAATCCTGTTTGATGTCTGTGGGATATCTCTGGAATACATAGGTTGGGTACTGCAACCCAACTTCTGCTGTTATAATTACATAAGCTTTAACAATCTTTCTTCAACTAACCACCTTAAATATATTCGCTGAGAATAATACTCCTTCCTCAAAATTAACCTATTTGTAGTTTTGATCTACTGCAATTTAATGCTCGTCTTTTCACTTTAATGAGCTATACTATTTTCCAACAGTCTTATTTTTAAATCTGTATGTATTTTAAATGTAGATACACCAAACACAAGCAGCTGAGGTGCAGAGGGACAAATTCACTTTTATCCAAACACACAAAACGTAACACACATGTTCTTTTGCTCCCTACCATGCTTGTCCTGTCCCGCCACACCTCATTTGATTTTTTCCTAGATTTGTCTCTCCTATATTCACCATTCTCCAAACCTCTCAGCAGCTGGTTGGCATCTTCATTCTCACTCTAGGCCCTTATGACATAATACTAGGAGAGTTACAAGAGCTTGGGAGTGCTCTAACTAGAAATTCCAGTGAATGAAGCCAAGGCTGTCTTCCATTTAATACTAAGCTATTATTGCTTCTCCATGTCATATGGATGTAAAAATATGTGAAGGTTAAAATTTTTGTTGTGGTGGTGGCAGGAGCAGCCCTATTAAAATGTACACCTTATGGAATATGAACAAGAAAGTGCTCTTGCCCCTCACAATATAGAGCATATGGTATGAGCTAACACACAGGAAAGCAGACTGGTTCGATAAACCATGGAATCTAGTGAATCTTCTCTGCCTCCAGGGTAAGAGTGCATGTGCATAACATAGCTCACAGATGACCAAACTAAAGATAAGTTCTTTGCTTCCACATTATCCTGTGGGCTTCTTTTCCATCACTGCCAGGCTAAAACAATCCCTGGAAAACATGCTAAGAAAATGTTTTATTATAAGGCTTCAGAAGACATTTATGATTGCACTGGAGCCATCTTAAAGAAATTGTCTAACAATGACATAACTCCATTCCCACTGAACTAAGCTGTTTCAGGTGAGAGTTCAGTCAAGGGAAAAAATGGACCACAAAACATTCAGCTTTGGTCTGCAATCCACTTGGTGTGCAGCCCATAATTATAATATAAGTAATATGTTGTGCCTTCACTGTAACAAGCTAGCTACAGTTGGAAATTCTTAATAATGCCAATGGGAGCATGGCTACTGAAACTTCAGCATGTCTGAATAAACTATGTTTTGCACTTTTCTTTTTCCTGCCCCAAATAAGACCAAATCCCAACTCTAATAAATCAAGCTTTATATAGTTTATGATCTACTGTCAGTGTATGTACTCCAGTAGCTTTCCACCCTGAGAGTGTTAAACTCCATTACCAAGGAGGCACCACAGGGGATCTACAGACAGGATTACAGAACACTGATAGTCAGCACATATATTTAAATCTTGGATCTAAATGAAAGGAGAAGTAAGAGCTGTGCTTCTTAAATAAGGCATTTTGACAAGTATTGGAAAGTGATTATAACTGCAGACTAGAAAAAGGGTCTTTCCTGCTTCCTATCCTCCACCACAGAAAGATCTTTTCCTTAGCTGGTGCCACCATGATTGTAGCTGGTGAGGTCTAAAATTTACAGTCACATACAAAGTATTTAAACTGCGAGTGGCAACAGTTAAAATTGTCTTTGGGTATCCCTAAGGAGCCAAGACTTTCAGAGATGGTTTAAATAATTCAGGGGTCTTGCCAGTTCCTAGAAGTTTCAAATTTCTAATACACATACGGAGAAATATCACATTAAGATGCAAATAGCATCTCCCATGCCTAACTCAGACAATAGCATTCAGTGTATATGTCAAATACACATGACATACCCTACTCACAAGAGAAGCCACAGTTCTTCTTGCCCTCACAGGAAAGAATAAGCAGGGAAGCATGTAAGCCATATCCCTATACTGTAAATTTTGCCCTTGGGCTGTACTATACCGAAAGCTATACTGCAAGCAGTTTTGACCTTGGAACAAATTTCTTGGAAAAACCATAAATCAATCACCGAAAGACGTTTCAGTGCCCTGACCTACTGCTATTCCACTTCTGCAACATCAGAGTGAATCAACAGTTCTCAGGATCTATCAGCAAATTCTGGGTCTGCTACTGCAACCAACCTGAACCATCTTTTTTCCACTTGAGCCAAACCCTCTCCACATCTCTCCTCTAAAATCCTTAGGTGAAAGCAGTCAGAAAGGGGAAAGGATCCTGATTCCACAATCTTACTTTCGACTATGAAAAAGAAATGAAAGGGAAAAATTGAAGAAGAGAAAGGGACATCAGGGAAGGGAGAAAAATAAAAGAGAAAAATAAAATGGGGAGGGGAGAGACACATAAAATTCTCCTTAATGGAAGTGGCACCTCATGTCAGACACTAATTTAACAGTTATTTTAATGGCTGATACTAACAGTATGTCAATTTGATTGATAAGACTGTCACTTTGATAGTTAAAGTTATTGGTAGAGTGGAAAAAATGATGTATTATTATCTTAATTCTTCATTTAAGGGCTTATTAAGGCATATGGGAATTTAAACTGAGTGATGAATATGAATTTATTTCATGGTGTCTGAATGTAGTCTAAGTGTATAAGGTAGAAGGCAGAGTAAAGAGGCACAGGGGAGACATGCCTTTTTGGAGGACAGTTAAAGGACAAGTGAGAACAATGAGATGGCTTTCCAGATTTAGTAAATATGAGAACTGAACTAATTAGTCTCTCTGACAGTCAAAGGTATTGGTATGATGTATTTTCTGTTACCAAGATAATGACATTATTCATGGCTGGAGCCACTTTAAACTCTGTCCCGTCCTCCCAATTGTCAGAGGATGGCTGAGAAAGGCAGTGACTTTGGCATTCTACAATCTCTCCTGGTATCAATAGAGCATGAAGGTTGCTGTAATGATAAAGACACTTGACATAATAAATACTTATTAACTTTATTTAGATAAACTGCTAGAAAGCATTATTAAGGTTGGAACAGTTAGGTGTAAAGAACAAGTCTTGCTGAAGGAAAAACAATACTGGCTTTGGAAGGACCTGCTAATTATCCATTTAGGTTAAAAAACAAGCAAATAAATGAAATAAGCCTTGAGTTAAGGTGTCAGAAGATTGTTGTTTTGTGCAACAGACTAATATGACTATCACTCCAGAAAATGAATTATCAGAAAGTTTTCCAAGCAAAAGTTTCAAAAGCAATCAATGGCTCTGTGATAAGTGGATAAATCATCTTAAGGTTCCTAAGGAACACAAGGGAACTGAGGGTAGGAATCAAGTTTTTCCAAGTGGAGAGAAACCAGCAAAGGATCTATAAGTGGATGAATGCCTATTCCAAAATGAAGCAATAGGAAAATAACACAGAAGCCAAATTATGCAGGTGGTGCCAAATCATTCAAGATGTTAGCATTCCAACCAACGAGCTTCAGCAAGATAGGACCAGCGCAGCAGTGGCTTGCACACTCGGAGACCATCTCCGATCAATCAAGCCACCGCCTCCCCTCTTCCCCGTGCTGCAACCGCAGAGTACCAAATACAAAATCATACCAAATCATTGAATGATTATGCAGAAGCCAAATTAAGCAGGTGGTACCAAATCATTCAAGATGTTAACATTCCAAGCAAAGAGCTTCAGGAAGATTGGGCCCACATGGCAGTGGCTTGCACACTTGGAGACCATCTCCAAGCGAGCAAGCCACCACTTCCCCGCCTGCGCAGCAAGCGCGGGCAGCAAACGGCGGCGTGGGCCGGATGGATGGCCATTGTGGGCCGGATCCATCCTGCGGGCCGTAGTTTGAGAACCCATGGATTAGACTATCTGACTAATAGAACAGATTCGACTATTTGTCCCTTTTTGTCTAGAGTACTGTCTTTTCTGAATGGCAAGCCTCCCCAGGCCTTTGATATCACCTGCTATTTGATCCTCTTTCAACTGGAAATTTGAAGCAGTTCCGTATTTCAACCATGAGTTCTATCAATGAGCAACCATGAAAGAAAGTTCCCCAGAGCTGCTCAGTATGCTTGCAGCAATTTAACAGGTCAGTGCAATGTTAGGTTAGGAAAGAGAATGGAAATAAATAATCAAGAATTAAAAGTTATATAAATCTTTAGTGCTGCTACATTTAGAATACTCATACAATGTTTCCACATATTAAAAAGTATGTTATGAAGCTGGAAATACTGATGAGGGCACTACGGAATTCTTAACTTACTCTGCAAACATAATTCTTCCCTCAGTGTGAAGCTAACATCAGAAGACTCAAGCCACAAGGAAGGTCCTACAGCATGACCTTCAGCTTTTTAAAAAAGGTGGAAGGAGTAGGGCATCTTGGGGGTACCTAGAAGAGCACCCAGGGTTGTACTGGTGACTGCGAGAACAAAGTGGCCTTCCCTTGTCCTACATGATTTAGAATCACTCTACAGAAGCTCATACACAAAGGGAATGTGGAAAGGCGACTTAAAACTACCGACGGAGAAGCACCTTTCCCATTGATGAAGGTATTTTAATTATGAAAAACCCTAAAATGATTGAAGTTTAGAAAAATATACATAGGGAGGATAATGTTGAGGCCAAGAGTAAGAAAGGCTATATATTTCCTCAGAACACTAGAATAGGTGCATGTAATAAAATTGAGGGACAGCACGGTTCAGGATAGACGTTCTTCACACTATGTATAATTTAAGTTTGTTCAAAACAGAGCTGACTAGGATGGGCAATGCTGGTGCTTTGTCGGCGCACTGGCTCTCAGCCTGTTTGAGTCAAAGTTTTTGCACTAACTTTTAAAGTCCCAAATAGCTTGGGAAAAAGAACATTTAAAGGAACCTTTTTATTTACCCAATATTTTAAAGTTTTTAAAAATTAATTCAGATTTTATTTATCGTCAGTGGAGTTTTATATTTCTGTTGTATTTATTGGATATTTATTACTCTAAGCCATCCAGAGACGTTTTGTATTGGACAGGTTAGAAATATCCAAATAAATAAATAAACAAACAAACCTCTCCTTACCATATATACCTACTCAGACCTGTAAATTATCTTTGAAGGCCTTCTTTCAAGTAGTCCCTTCAAGTGTAATTAGGAAGGTGGCCACAAGACAGAGTCCCAACTCTGGTTGTGGAACCCCATTTATGGAATGCCATCCCCAAGGAGGCTCACTCAGTGAGCTTAGCTTGTTCATGCAGGCAAAAAACATTTTTTTTCCATAGGCATTTTAGATTTTGTAGCAGTTTCTATATAATTTACATTAGTGTAGTATAGTGTATCATTTTAAAATCTACCTGTAGAACCTTTGTTATTGGGTGAATTGAAACTAAAATTTAAAAAGTTAGAGAATGCTTCCAAATGTACAGTTACCTGCTTGGACAGCTTCCAAAAAGAGTCATAAAAATCCACAGAGGGTAGGTGGTGGTAGGTACAGCAATGAAAGCAAAATGTTTATGTCAAAAGAGGGTAGCCTTTAGCAGAGCTTCCAGCTGGATCAACCTTCAGTTTAATTTACATAAGCAATTCTTGTCTTCCCACCATCACAAAGTAGGCCCAAGGAAGGAGATCTTTTTACACCCTGAGCAGAAAGAATAAAAGGACTACACAGAGCTCTTTCTGTTAGTAGGAAAAGTCTCCTCAGACTTCCTCAGTGGCACTGGGCTGAACACTGATGTGACACATGATGCAGAAAGGATGCTGGTCATCTTAATCTGTCACTGCATTGTCCTAGCAACTCCAAGGATGGGCTTTGGAGATTCAGAAGGGTTACGTTATCTGCCTTCTTTTATCCAGGGACACCACTCTAGGAATGGGAGGTATCCTTTGCATGGCTGCTTCCATGTTGCCATGTTCATACATAAAACCTGGGGACAAACAGTATGCATAGCTTGTTTGGATTTGCACCATGTATGTCCAGAAGGCACTGTAGGTAGAGGTTGCTAATTCTGAAAAGTTTATTGTGCGATTTTAGTGATAAGGAATCAATGCAAAAGAATAAGGTATCATTCTATCACGTAGAACCTAAAAAGGAGCATACTCTACCTACCATTCTTCTTTGCAGCAACAGGCACAAAACATGACATGCCTGAAAATGTTCTCTGAAATTCCTGTTTTCAAACCACATGCTTCAGACTATTTTCTACATTGATTCGACTAGAAGGGTTCTTCACAGACATGGTTAGAAACCCCACCCATATACTAAATTAAACTTGCTTCTAAGAGACTATTTTGAAGAGACAAAACATTTATCTAATTCCTCTTTTATCACACTTGAGTCAGACACAATCTGCCTGTAAGGTAGCTTTTGACAAGAGACATATACATCATGTGTGTTTTAGACATACATGCCAAGTGTATGGAAAGAAAGGCGAGAACAAGAGGTGTGGGGAGAAGCTTGGGGTTTTTTCTCCTCCTTTTTTCAACTGCTAAAAATAATACGATCCAGAGCAATTGTATTCTACCAAATGTGTCTGCACATTCAAACAGGCTTGGTGCATATTTCTGCTTTAAATCATGCCGCTACCCCCACACCGGTGCCCCTTTTCTCTGCTCATGCAGGAAAAAAATAGCTCTCTTTTGGGTTCTTTACCTGTCTCAGCTTGCTTCAAAAATGAGAAGAAAGCTTTGCAAGGCCTGGGGTGATGAAAAGATTAAGTTCATAAGAAACTTTCCCATCTTGGGATAATGCAGTAATGGCAGAAGGTAACACTACAGGAGACATGAGCCATATTTAACTGATTACTTCATTTTTTTTTCTAATACTGTTTTCAAAGGCACAATTTTATGGGGTTCATCATGAATCAAAAATAGAAATATGAAAAGTTTGATGCTTTCTCCCAAGATAAGGATGGAAAAATTCAGATCTGCAATATTAATCTGGTCACCCCTCCTTTCTTCTCTTAGTGTGGCTCCATGCTGATTGATTCTCACCACAACCCTGAGGAGAATGTCAATTAGAGGTGAGATTTCTAGGAGATATGGGGGAAAGTGTGGTTCAGAAGGGTTTCTTGGGAGATGAGAATAGTATTTGACTGCCATTAGCAGTAGCAAATATTCTTGGAGCATATGGCTTTGCATTGCCACAATGGAATCCTTCAGGCAACAATGCAATGACACAAGTAAGCCATCAATTTCTGCTATCAGAGTCACGTCAAATTAGTGCAAATTCCAGCAGTTCATCTTTTCAAGCCAAGCTATTTTTAAGGGGAATTTGGGGAATTCTGGCTATAAGTTCAGAACTAGATATTACAGAATATATGTGGTTACCACCAAAAATATGACATGGCACTCTCTCCAGCTGCACAAAGAGTGGCCATAAATTGAAGCAAGGATGAGGAAATGTGAAGCACAATAATGCCATCTCTTTAAAGAAACCTACTCCAATCTAGTAAACTCCTAGCATTTTGGACTATAACACTAGCACTGGCATAGTGGCTAAGCTGATAGAATCTGAAACATCTGCATGGCACCAGGTTGGGCAAGGCTGTACTAGAAGATACCAAGAAAGAAAAGAGGAGTATGAAAGCCAGGGCTGAAGTTTTTGGCAGAAAACATATAAACTCCATGATATGTAATTGCAGGCTGCATAAAGAGAATTTAGATACTGGCTTACACTGGCATACACTGCGTTCAAATAATAGTCAATGCACAAACATACTGAAGGAATTGTTAGGCTTCTTCTCATTTCACAATGCTTAAGGACAAGACTCAAATAAGGAGCAACATACTACTCTTTCCAGTACAGGGCAAGTAAGCATAAACTATTTATGGAACTGCTTTGAATAAAGGCATTCTAGGTCATAACCTATCAAGTAAGGATTCTACCTTCCGTTAATGCAGAGTTAACTTGTAAAGCAATCTGCTGCACTGCAAGTGGCAGCTTCCAACCAGTGGCTTAAGGACAGAATTAAATGGATAGTAGTTGCATATGTCTTACTGTACATTACATCTTCCTTTGTGCAGCTTCTACCTTTATAAGGTCCTGAGGCACAGACCTCTTGGCATGGGAGAGAAACAAACACCAATGCCATAAAATCAATAATTTAAAATTCATCTTGCTACCCCATTATGAGTAATGTCCCAGCTTTTTGCCAGAATGTACCAGAGCCCTGTATTTGGCCTTCTAGTTGCTTATCACAGTGGTCATATTACACTGTGCTCAGCTTCTATTGTTGTCAATTCTACTAATTCTTCTGAATACTCAGTTATCCCCTCTGTATGTTTTAGCCATTATTGTCTTTTAAATCCCTGATCTTATAGCAACTTGACTTTTTTCTTAACAAGGTTCCGGTTTGGATGCAGCATGAAGTCACATGTGTTTACCTTAATTCTGGCTTGGTTGTACACCTCAAGCTAGCCCAGATTTGGCCAAATGCTCCTGCTATACCTTGGATTGGAATGTATTTTAAGCAACCTTGGCCACTTTCTCCCCACACCTAATGACAGTCATTAAAGCCACACCTCTAACACATAAGCTATAACAACTCAGTAGATACAACTGCAGTTGGATCTAAAAGCTTCCCCATGACCACAGTCACTTCCTGCTAAAGAGTGTTTCTACAAAATCCACATATACTCTTTATATCCTATTGACCCAATTTATTAGTAATACCTGCTCTTCTTGTCCACCAATAAAATTTCAGTACTAGAAATAAAGCGTGTCTTAATTGAAATAGTGACTAAACTTTATTTAGGGGGCTTGGGGGGAAAGGATTAACAAAGAGTGCTAACAAGTCTTCATAGTATCTAGAATTCCTTTTTACTCAGGCTGTGACAAGAGCAGCCAAAAATTTTCAAAGACAGTGTATTTCCCAACCAGTTTCCATAGCCAGCCAGTAGAAAACTTGCTGCTCTGATCACACCTTGCTATTCCTTGGGTGCTGCAAAGAACTTCAGGCCAATTGCAAAGGAGTTGGTAGGATAATGATAATAAACCAACTTTAAGTGAAACAAACTTATTGATCTTGGTATGCCCAACAATGTTAAAATTAGCTATACCTTAGTTTTATGTCAAAATGCAGCCAATGATCTCCACTCTTACCACAGTCCCAGCTAGTAAAATCTAATTTCTATTCCTTGTGCTCTCTTTTTATTTACCTAAATAATTTATAATCAAATTCCTCCGCAGAATAGTTACTATCATAATTGCTTGCTGTCTTTCATCCTTAAATAATCTTCATTCTGAATGCAACATGTACATATTCTAGTACTTCCACTGCTTATAGGTATATTTGGCCTTTTCCATGGTTCCATTTAATTTGTCTTATATATTTTAGACTGGTATTCTCTGGAATATCTGTCTTTTTTAATGTTTTAACCTTATTATATAGTCAAAGCCTTTAAAATTAACTATGCTTGCCTGGTCTCCATTTTGGGTCCTTGCAACATTTACCTGAATAATAAATTGATTTTAAAATGTGGACTGCATTTTCAATTAACTTTCTGTGTTAAAAAAGTAGTTCCATGAAGAAAGGGGATGTCAAGCACCCATGTAACACTGTGTCGCATGGAAAAGTAAGTATCTGGTGGAGCAGAAGGAGGGAATGACAATGGCTGCCCGGCAGTGGCCAGTAAAGAAGATGTAGCTGCACCAGGGAGGCTTCAACACACTGTTATCAAGTAGCAGAAATGGCTAGATGATAGAAAACAATGAGAAGAACAGAATGAGCAAGGAAGAGAATGGAAGGTTATATCTACACATGTAGAAAATACAGTAACATCTTACTGTCCAGATAGGAAACTCCCTGGTTTACACCAAGGTTCCACTCCTAGGGAAAGAAATGTTCCCCACAGAAATTCTTGGAGAAATTAATTTCAATGTAGCTGGGACTGAGTATGTATTCCCAAATGCAGAAAAGGCAGCTGTGAAAAGAAGTACTCCCGCTGTAATTCAGATCCAGTATAGTCATAAAATCATAGAATAGTAAAGCTGGAAGGTCCCATGAAGGCCATTGGGTCCAACCCTTGCTGTTGCAGGACTCCAAGTCACACCATCCCACTCATGTGTGGAACATTTAAAAATACAGCTCTGTTAAAGCAAATTACAAAACAATTGCAGTTCATTTCCTTATAAGTTGGAAGGGGCTGTGCCCATGGCTTAGTGAGAACTACAGCCTTGTGGTATAAAGAACTATTAATATAATAGGTATGAAGTGAGACTTCTTAATGTACTGCCTCAGGCACCAATCACAGGCAAAAGTCTGTTGCATGCAGAAGCCTCAGGCTCCATTACTATACTTTTAAATGCTCATAAGCCAACAGACCTTAGAATATTCACATTATGTAGTAAGAAGTTAGAGTAGGAATTTGGGTTTGATGTTCACTTTTTTCACCCCTGCCCCACCCTAAGCCACAGGCTCAAATAACACACACATGCCACCATACCATATTCCAGGGATGTACTACAACATTTGTTTTGTGGACCTCCACTTTTGTGTTGTGTATGCCCCATGTACTTTTTAAAAGGGTACTTTTATTTTTGACTTCTTAAAAGCTGTAATACTTACCATCTTCAAAAATTGCCCCAGTTTGAAAGGATAGTTCAGAGCTATGTTCTGCCTCACATGGATAGACTGCTCTTGCTTTTCTGCTGACAACATGGAAAAATCAAAATTAAAAATTTCTGTAAGTTAAGTTTTTAAAAGTTGCAGAATCACTTCTTAAATTTTGAACCAAAATGGAGGGCTATCCTGTCTACACAACCTATACAGGTATGGAGCAGGGGGACAGCAGTATTTCCTTGTAATGAGAAATCTATCACCCCACTCTTTGACAACAGATTGAAAAATGTAGACTATATAAGGCAATAATTTGCACCAGGAGTTGAAGTGTGTGTAAGAAATGGGGAAGTCTATTCATTTAAAGTCATTACAAATCTGAACACACCTCTTTCAGTTCAGCCATTCTTAACAGGCATATATAAAACTGCATCATTTACTGTTTAATACTAGAAAAATGGAGTTCTGCTGTATTCATTATCTCATGCAACTTAAGTAGATCAGATGCACTTTTTTGTATCCAAAGTAACAGGAGAGAAGGGAAGAGGTATGCTATCAAAATTAAAGTCCTGACCACTGCATTAAGGTTTTACCTAGAGAAATGCACAATGTAATCATTCCACAAACAGGATTTGCCTAACACAGAATGGCATGATTATGTCACAAACTGCAGATTCTGATTTGCATGGGTTAAAGGTATTACCCCATCCATACCATCTACACTGCATCATTGTGACAGGAGCAACAATCAAGATGCATAATGGGGCAATTCAGAGTGAAGCTCTAGTTTTTTTCCTGCTTGCTCTCTACCACTAGTCAAACCTAAATATACTACTTTATCATGAAAGTTAAAATTATTGTTATGCCTCGGAAAGTTGCTAACTGGTGTTACATGCAAGCAAATTGTCTCCAATTTATTGCAGCCCTATAAATGACTGAATTCCAAAATGCCCTGTCCTCTGCAGCCCTATTCAGCTCTTAAAAACTCATGGCTACAGCTTTCTCTGTGAAGTCAGTCAATCTCATAGTTGGTCTTCTTCGGCCCTTGACTTTTCCTAGCATTACTGTTCTCTCCAGTAAGTCTCTCCAGAGCTTTCTCAACCTGTGAAAGTCACTGCACAGGAAATATGTTTGCCTGCAAGCTACCTAATATCTGTATAGACCACTTTACAAGAAGAAAAAGTTTTGCTTTTCTTATTTATTATATTTATATCCTTCCTTTTTTCCTTTCAAGGAAATCAAGGCAGCTTACATAATTCCCCTCATCCTCTCACAACAACAGCCTGTGATGCAGGTTCAGCTGAGAGTCTGGGACTGGCCCAAAATCACCCTGTCCATGGCTGAGTGGGGACCAGAACCCAGATCTCCCACTATTGCACTCTTTACCAGTACACCACACCAGCTGTTATAGCATGAGAGTCAGACTCAGGGATGGAAAAAAAGAAAAAGAAAAAAACTTGATGGCAGAGTTTTACCTTCCAGCTTGCCTTTCAGTCTCCCTGGCAGGAGATGGAAAGGGGACAGATAGTGATGTTGATGTGACTGTGGTAAGTGCTGTATTTGACTGCACATTCATCCAAGAAACCATTGATGAATGGATGTCGCTAGAGCTGAAGGGAGACATTTGCAAAACAGAATTAATTTTTATCTTTTGTTACTAATTTTGTTAGTAATCAATTTATGTTTTGAGATCCAAGAAGTCAATAACGTAATTTGCGACCCATCATTATATATGTTTTGACCTTGAAGCATGTTTCTTAAAATCTGTTGCCAACCGTCTATGAAGAGGTTGCAATTACAACTCTCCTAATAAAGGAAAAATCCTGCTTTGGACCATACAGACAAATATGCTTTACTTTTTACTGAGCTAGCTTTATTGCTAAGCTTGAAACATACAGTGCTCTTAGAGCAAAATAAAGAGCCTGAGTTAAATGCCGATGTTTATACAGAACAGGGTTGGTTGGCAGACAGTGTGTTCTAATGATAACCTGAGAACATCAAACAGTTGCTAACAGCTTGCTAACAAGGACTTACAGACTGTTATATTGCCATGAATGCCAGTTAATATTTCCCTTGAGAGGTACAGATTAATTGTCCATCATGATATTTTGCCTCTGAGGCGCGCGCGCGCGCGCACACACACACACACACACACACACACACACACACACACACACAGAAGAGGGGTAGAGGGAGAGGGAGATTCCTTTCTCTTTCTGAAAATCTGCAACACAGTTCTACGGTGGGGGGAGCAAAGAGACTGTAAGCATAAGAGTGATGGGATGCTATCCAAGTTCTAGTCTGTAGACTTTGTCTTAAGTAAAAGGATGAAAGGAGGATCTTTTCTTGGATTGGTTTTGCCAGGTATGCTTATTTAAAAAGATTTTTAGTTACCCTCACCTCAAAGGTTGAGAACAAAGGAAAAAAACCTTTTTTTATTGTTCCTTTTTGTGCCCCAATAAAACATGATTTTTTTTCTGTTTAAAGTTTAACTCATATGTTATATCCTAAACTACCAGATCCCAGAGGGAAAAGCAGTCTTGGTAGTTTCAGTTTGGACTATAGAGAACTGTGCATGCATGTATATACGCACATGTGCGTCCACAAATGACATAGATATTCAGTATCGCAAATGATAATGTGTACGATCATCAACTGGTTTCTAACAGATATAGCACAAATAGGATATTACCTAGGAACTGATTTTCCAAGAGGCAAAATAAAACCTGAGAAGGGCCGAAGACAGTGATTCCTCCTTTACTTTATGAGAAAATTAGCCCTGGTGCAGAGAAATAGGTAGGTTGCTTGCCTGTAACTGCCTTTCTTTGAGTGGTCATCTGTGCATTCACACATATGGGCTTTGTGCCTGTGCAGAGTCTATACTCAGGAAGCTTCTATAGCTAACTGTTTGACTGGGTGGGAGTCCTGCCCTTCCTGTTTCAGGATTGTCATAGGTCCCAGGACTGAGGAGGGAGTGTTGTACCAAACTGGTCTGGCCCTGTGCACCCTGGGCAGGCAAGGGAGTGATTGTCAAAGCAACAACAGTAGGGAGGTTGTGTGAACACACAGATGACCACTCAAAGAACAGCAGTTAAAGGTAAGCAACCTGCCTATCTTCTTTACAGTCTCTATGCATCATACATATGGGCAACTAGCCTGCTTACTTCGAGAAGGTTGGAGGGGTGATGTCATCATCAGAGGAGAGGCCTACACTGTTGATGGAGCAGTTGGCTTTTGTATGGACATCTAGTCATAGTACCCAACAAACAATGAGAGCATGTTCTATGTGGCAACTCTGCAGATCTCATGCAGGGAAATCCCAGAGAGTAGGGCAGTGGCTGTGGCCACTGCTTGAGCTGAGTGTGCCCTTGGTGGGACCATGACTAGAAGGTCAGCTATTTCATAAGCCAGAAATATAGTGTTTGCAACCCAGTGGACTAGTCTTTGAGTAGAGAGAGGATGATTTCTTGGTTGAGATGAAACTGACATGACCCTGGGGAGGAAGGCTGGCTCTGGCCAGAGTACTGCTTTGTCTCTGTGGAAGGTAGGGTAGAGGGGATTGCTGGAACACCTGGCCAATATGATGGCCCCTAGGAAAGCAACATTCCAAGAGAGTAGGCAGAGGACAGTCACAACCAGTGACTCAAAGAGCTTCTCGGTCAGGACCTGCAGCACAGCCAAGAGGCTCCTTACAGGCATGAACAACCCACAGAAACTGGTGAGCTGGAGGGTATATGAAGATTGAAGCTCCCTATACTGGCAGGTGGAAGTGTAAATCCTTTACATGAATGACTGCAGGAAGTAGAGGATGTGCTCGTCCGTGGTGTCTTGTGGTAGTATGTTCTCTTGGTGTGCAAAGGCATTCCATTTTGTCAGGTAGGACATCCTTGTGGACAGCTTGAGAGCAGCAATAAGGATAGACCTGACCTCCCTAGGCCCCTGGAGTATGGCCTACTCTGAGATGCAGAGTTCCTATGTCAGGGTGGAGGACTTAGCCCCAGTCCTTTGAAATCAGGTGTGGTGCACTTGGGAGCTGAAGGGAGGTCCCAAGGTATAGTTGGAGGAGTCTGGCAAGCCATGGCACGTCCCTCATGTAGGCAGAGAGTGACTGTCCAACTGGAGGGTGTCTACTGTCACAGTGGATGCATTTTTGGAACAGTGCCACCAACACCATTGTGGAAGATAAGGAAGTTGGAAAAAAGAAAAAAAAAGGCATTTCAGTAGGGGAACATGATGAGGTAGAGAGAAAAATGGGTAGAAATACATATTGTTGTAGATTTATATATATGGGGGGGGTGAAGAAAACAAAGATTTAAATGATTTAGAGGACTGGAGAGGAGTAAGTAAAACATGCTAGAATATTCAAGGTTGAGGAGAAAGAAGCACTTCCCAATCTAGGTTTGCTGGCAGTCAAAAAGGAACAGAGGAAATAGGTAGGATCCCTCCCATGCACTCCTGGAAAAGGGAGGGAGGGGCTCATGCCTGGTCAAACACTTAGCTATAGAAGCTTCCTGACACTAGGCTCTGAGCAGGTACAAAGCCCATATATGTGATGCACAGAGACCACGAAGAAGAACAGTGCACTTCTCTGGCCAGATAGATCTTGTGGATATATTTAAAGAGTGTGTGGTCTCCAATACAGCTAAAAAAAGTATTTTTGAAGGAAGTGTGAAATGTTTGTGGTAACAGCTAGAAATTATTCTTCCTGTCACACCTCCATGTGGGTTCTTTGTAATTCTTTAACTCTCTTGAAATTTAATTCCCATTCCCATTTTTAAGCAAAAGTGGTTCAGCGATAAATGAATGCTGAATTTTAAGGAAAGCCTTGCTACATATAAGTTTGGCTCATGTGATGGCAAAACAGATCCCTGAAACAAGAAATCCTTTGATTATCAAGAATTAGTTTAAGAGTATCTAGAAATACTGAAATTGAAATGTGATAGCTTTTATGAAATTTTTGACAATTTTGGATGAACGTGGAAAGAAGCTGAAACAGATGCAATAATAATGCTTGCAAAAGTGGAGAAAAGTAACCTATCAATCATTTCTCCTTGACAAGAAAACTTATTTGCTTGTATAGTTCAAGTTTTGAAATAGGGGACAGGAAGACTGCAAACCTTTCAGCAAATAAGCTAGAGATCTTTACAGTTATTTGGAAACCAACTTCTGAAAAAAAAAACATTATTGCATTTTTATCTGAATTGTTCCTAAGGCTATTCTGTTGAAGAGAATCATTTCAGCACAAACATCAGTGAGCAAAGAAAGCAACAAAGAGAGGCCATGAAAAAAAATCTACACAAACTTTTCAGAAAAATCTTATTTCATACAACTGTCATAGGTCTCTTTTCAAAAGGAAAGCACACAACAGGCACAGAATCTCACGTGATTTAAACATTTTACTACAAAAAAGTCATAATATACTTTAGATACAATATGTGATTCAGTACTGTACATGCCAGGAGAGTTTTTGCCTATTCTATTACGCATGTGAATGTATTGTACTGGATGCAAATAGGAGCAGGAAGAAACTGCATCCCTAAATATCTTGTTAGGATTCTGCATCTGTGGAAGTTTGAGACACAGCATGATAACAATGCTTTAAGATTCTTCACTTTAATGAAAGGAAGACTTTGTTCCTAGGAACAGGATATGACAGGCAGGCAAGTTAGCCTACAACATGTGGGACATCCATAGAAATGTCAGTTTCAATAACTGAACAACAGACCAGCAAGGAAACTGACATAACAACAGGGTTGTGAAATATATACAGTACCTCACAAAACTATTAACCAGTAACTCATACCTATCTCTGCCCCAAGTACTGCCTAATTTCTGCTACTCTCTCCATTCAAGTATGTTTCAGTACAGATTCAATCCCTAAAGCATCTTGCTAAGCCCATATGTGTTGGGTGTAGCCACATGATAGAGATCACAGCCATCTTTCTTCAGGTTGCTTTCCTTCTAACTGTATGTGTCATTTAGCTTTTTAACAGTTCTCAATTTGGATAGCACACCATCTTCACAGCTTTTATAATTTTAAGAAACAATGCACAAGTTTGTTCAAAAGACTAAGTAATTTTTCCATGCTGTGTATCACACAACAACCTGACGTGTGGACATCTCTTCTATGTGGGAAATTGAATTCACATGCACACATCTGTTTTGCCTTGTCTGAACTTGCCACTAACTGCTATTTCAAACACTGGTGCAGAAGAACTTTGTACTGTACGACTAGATCTTCATACAGTGACTGCAGGCTCTCCAGAATGCATTTAGCAATTTTAGAAGCATTAAAACTGGACAAATCTGATTCTGATCAGGTGAGGTCTTTATCCTAACACAAGAAAGAGCAAACGCTAACAGAGTAACTTTTTAATAAGCCATCAGTTATACAGGCTTCCTTCTGGGTGCTTTGAACAGCAGCAAAAGATTCACTTGTTTAAAAAAGGCTTAGTATGATTCACTTTCTACAAAAGCTTCAACCCAGAATAGAATGTTTCCCTGGGCTACAGAGCACAGAAACACTGTTGCAACTGTACCAGTCTTCAATCTTCTACTGTGACTGCCACTGTGATTCCACATTTCTCTTTACTGAATGACTGCACAGCAGGCTGAACTTTTACATTTAATATTACTTGGGGGGAGGGGGAGAAAGACATTGCACCACATGCATGACTTTCCATTATAAAAACTTTAGGTTTATTATAACTCCCCCACCAAAAAGAAGAAGAAAACCTTGCATTTACTTATACATTCTAAAATACTAAGAGCTAATTTGACACTAAAGCAAAATTATGGAGAGTAAGGACAGGAAAAGGACAGCAGACCAGAACTCCAATCAAAGCTTGTGGGTTAAGCAGGAATCAAAACTTTAGAAACCCGTGGTGTGTATATGTGTGCACATAATTCAATGAGAAATCGCCCAGATGGCTAATTGCATGTGCAGCTTATCCAGGAAGGGTGTATGAGTGAAACAGAGAACTTTTGATCTGTAAGGGGATCATGCATGTTAAGATGTAAGCATGTTAGTTATCATCCAGTAAAATAGTCCAGTATAATTAGATACTGTAGGCTGCTTATATTTTCAGCTCTGCATGAATCTAAATTTATAAGAATCAGTTCCACTAAAATAATCTGAAATAAGGTTTCTGTACTTTAAAATACACTAAGAGACACTAAGAAATCAAGAGCTAGTTTTGTAGTATTGGCTTTAATAATCAGATATAATTAAGCTACACTCTTTCATGCTTCTGTTAGTTTTAAGATTTTCATTAGAAACAAAAAATCTACTTTTAAAATGGTGTCATTTTATTTTATTTTATTTTATTTTATTTTACTTTACTTTATTTTATTTTAGGTATTTGTGAATACCATTGTACCTGAGGAGATTATAGCAGACTGCCTTCAAACAGAAATGATGTTACTTACAGACTGGCTGCTGAGTCTGCTGGGTCTCCACTGTCAGTTATAAGATGATTTTTCTGCATGTCTGGAGGACTGCTGGGGACAGCAGTTGTAGGAGACTGAGAAGATAGGGAATCCATGCTACCAGTGGGTGTGCATTCTTTGGTAGGGCTAAGACTGTCACCTGAAGAAGAAACATGTTTTATAGCAATAAAACACTAAAATGTAGCATTTATTATACGAAAAATACTGCACAGAAAATTTGCACTGTAACCGTACAATATTTGCACTGTTCACAATATTTGTAAGTCATTGGCTGTAACCTGACTACTAAGATGTGTATTTAATATCCAAATCATCATGCAAATATCAGAACGGTATCACATATGCATGTTCCTTAAATGCTTGTGTCAGCACAGTGACTGATCACACTAAATTAACTCAAGCAAGCTGATGTTTGGAGATAATTATAACCAAGGGGATTGTCATTTTGTTCAGAAATTTCTTTTCCCAATATACTCTTTGCACCAGCCTTCTTAGTATCCAAGGACAACAATGATTTTGTTATTGTTTAGACACTGGTAAAAAAATCTGAACTGAAAATATCATCCTAGAATACCTGCTAATCTAAGTTAGCTTGTAGAAGCAAGATGTGCAAAACTTAGGAAAAGTTTATTAGTTTCTGATATGAATGATGGAACATTAGACCTACTAACTTGTTTCTGTGCATTCAGTACATTGAACTGATGATTTTAGATGCTGCCTGTAGTTCACATTTGCACAACATGACATGACAAGAGCAATTCTAGTAAATTAAGACTGCGTAATATTCCCACCTCTAATTCGCAGGCACACGTCACAATGAAAAAGATATTCTAGGAGATCTAAAAGCAATACACTAATCTTTGGGAGCCACTTGTTATTTTTCCAGCACTGAGATTAATATTAATATCTAAAATTCATATGCAAATGACAGCACAAGTTTCTTTTCTCACTCTGGGAAACACACCTGGAAACAAAGGCTTAAATACTAATTACTACAAGGAACATTGTGCAAGGGGATGTTCCTGTCCTCTCCTTCTCTTTCCATGCCCCATTTCCCAACCAAGCCTCTATGTAGAATTGTGCGACCATCCTGAACAGGGGGCTGCTGGAAAAGAGAACCAGGTGGAGCCACCCATCATGAGTGGAATGAAGCTCCACTCAAGGGTCCTCTGTATGGTTGTGAAATGCTCTCTTGTCTCACCCATCAGCATCTGTGCCCATATTATACTGTTCAGGAACTTTGGGGGAGCTACAGTGCTCCAGAGAGGAAAAGGGTGAAGAGAAATCCCCCTTAACCAAATTGGCCACCTACTGTTTGCAATAGACAGGGCCCAAGTTAATTAATGAACAAAACCCCATTCTAGGAAGCAAGCCCCACAAAAGGAAGCAGGCTTTCAGACACACTTCCAATACATGTTTAGTTCCACATCTCCATCCTCATTACAATGTTGAACTAGCCCTGTTGAACTGATTGAAAGTATAGATGGGATACATGAGTAGAACTGCAATCCTATACCTATAAGTCAGCCTTAGCTTAACAGGCCTCTGAGTACATATGTATATAATTTGTGGCCTGACTGACAACAGCCAAGATGACACATGGTATTGGCTCTGACAGGGAAAAAAGAAACTTTTTACTAATCTCCTAATTTTCATTAAAGAAGCATACAATAATTACAGCAATGTGAATTTGTGAAAAACTTATATATTTTTTTTAATTAAGTGTATTTTCCAATTGCAAAAGATTAACAGCTGTAGTTGTCTGAATATGCATTTATGTAATATATATTGGAACAGTGAGGAAATTTCAGAATGGTTACACTGAGATTTCTGGACCAGCTTTTAGAAGTCAAAGGGTATGAGATGTGGGCCTCTTTATTAAGTCACGTTATGTTGGCAAGAACAAAACCCACTTCAAAAAGGTCAACAGGAATTAGATTGCAAAGCAAGAGAAACAAATTAGGTTACAGTGTCAATACAAATCAAAGCAAATTAATTTAAACTGTGAAGCTGCACTGTTGTATCATAACAGCAGCAAGCATCAAAAGATGAGTTGCTCTCTCTCCAACCCCTCCCCTGAAATCCTACAGAAGAAAATGTCATAGGAGGTGTGTTTTAATTCTGGTCTTTCTACTATTCAGCTCAATTAATCAATATGAGCACAGGTTGCAATTCAGGACTAGAGAGGAATGTTAACAAAAACAGATAAACATTGAAAATATTTCCACTGGCAACTTTCAGTAAAGGTGCTGCCAGAAAGCATCTGGGTGTCACTCAGGTGGCACTATGTCAGGCGAACTGAATGGGCCAGTTTCCAATTAAACAAGCCATGGTGGGCTGCATCCTGTGTTGGCACATGTGGGCAGCCAATTTGAATATTCAAACCATTGATACAGCTAGTCTTATCATCTAGACCTTGCAAGGCAGAATGTGTGGGAGCACAATCTATAAAGTGGGGTAAAGCATGCTGCTTCCTGCACAACTGACAAACTGCAGCTATATAATGATTATTCAAAAACCTTCTAGCACAAGCACTATGATGATATAAGTCAGATCAAGTAATGGCAGGTTTCTTATCTGTAACTGTCCTCTTAGGAGTGGTCAACTTTGTATTCATTCATACATAAGGGTTGCACACCTACAAGGGTCTTTCTCTGGGATATCTGTGTTACTGAGATCCCCTTCTCCATCATAGTTGCTATTATAGAGGGTTCCTAGCTATTCCCTCAGTTCCCAATTGACTTTGTGGCTTTGGGTATAGAGGGAAGATCAACCCAACCCTGATACAAGAAGAGGCTGACTACAACCAGAATGGTATGGTAGCATTTTTGGAATAACACCAAATGGGAATAGTGAGAGGGATGGTGTGAATGTCCAGAGAGCCACAAAGAACAGTTACAGGTAAGTAACCTGCCTTTCTTCTTTGTGGTCTCTATACATCACACACATGGGCAACTAATGAACCTCCCTACCAGAGGAGGGACAGTAGAGTTACTGAAAAACTGAAGAAAGGACCTCTCTGCCAAAGGAGCACCCTACTCTTGCAATTGATGTAAATGAGGTTGACTAGGTAGATGCCTTATATAATTCCTGTAGGGGAGTTCCAGCATAAGAAGATGACGACATTGCCATTGCCTGGGTGCAGTGAGCTTCCAGTAGTTCCACAAGCTGTAAGTCAGTTTGATACTCCAAGGAGATCATTTGTACCAGCCAGGATGCAAATCTCTGACAGGATACTGGGAGACCTTGTTTTAGACACTATGGTAGAGGAACAAGTTCCACCAATGGCAAACTGCTTTGGTTCATGAATGCTAGAATGCTAGGGTTCCTCAGACCTTCAAGGTGTGCAGAGTTGATTCCAACAGTGTAGAAGGAGATGCAAAGAAGGAAGGCAGTGTAATGGCTTGATTAATATGAAAATTTGAAACCACTGTAGGAAGAAAAGAGGGTACTGGAAGCAGGACTACACCTTATCTTTATAAGGTAATAGGTTCTTTCCGTAGCTCGCTGGGGAGCCTGATCAGAAAAGAAGCCCTGGGTTCTGGTATATAAGAAGAGATTAAATAAAGATGGGTCCCAATGTATAGGATTGTCTGGGAAGGATAAGAAGAGTGGGGAGTCCAGTATTCTTTCCCAAATTAACTGATAAAACTAACCATCTTGGAAAAGACATTTAGTGAAGGAAAAAAGTGTCACTGAGCTACCTGAATTTCAAAGAACATTCCTATCAATAACTTGGTTCACACAACATGTGCTGTTTCCCTTGTTTGTTTCTGAGTAGAGCTTGTCATGTTTTCTGCATCTGGCACAATAGCTTAAGTGTGGGTTATTAACCATGCACAAACAACCCTGAGAAGCCATGGCTTGCAGTTGGGTGGCTTGTTTTCAGAGTGGCTTGTCATGAGATGTGAATCCAGCATAATGGCTTGTGCATGGCTTGCCACAGAGAGCATCCAAAACCTCATCTGCCCTTAACCCACACCATCCCTTTTTCAACTTGGCACTTATTTTGACAGAAACTGGTTTCATCCCCTTGTGAGTTGAGTGAGTACAGTGTATGCATGATTGATTGACTTCTGTTTCAAAGTGGAACCATGGAAACTTGCAAGGGAGGAAGAGGAATTTAAGCTTTCCTCTCCCCTGTTTTCATGCCCAAATCTCCTTATCAATGGGGCAGTTTGAAAAAAAAAAAAGAATTAGAAACTCAATGCTTTCTTTTTTAAGCCCTTTCTGATGGAAAGTATATCAGCATAAAATGGGGGGGGGTAAGAACTCCCCTTCCATCATTGTCTTGAACTTGATTTACAAAAACAAGGGGGAAAGTTGGGTTTCTGCAGATATTGCCAGTTCTAGTTAAAAGCCTCACCATCCACTAGCCTCTTCTCTTAAAGTGTCAGCCTTGTTTTATTTCAAAGCAGGCTCTCACCAGGAGCTTCTGTTCTACAGTACAATAGATCATCATTCACCCCTCAGGGTAGGCCTTGGGTTTGCTAGAAGAATATATAGCCACTTCAAGGATCTTCAAATAAAAAGAACAACCTACAGATGTGCAGCCTCCTATATGAACCTCTCATTGTGGCAGCTAAAAATAAAAGGATCAAGAAATCACAATCTCATCAAGCTGTGGAAAACAGTTCACAGCAGAGTCACAGATAGTGTGTCAGGGTGTTAATTTAGACCTCATAATTAAAATGCCAAGATATGATAGATCCAAGGGTTACCATATAAAAAGAAATCAGATAAAAGCACAGCAAGCAGAAGGATGCCATGCTATGTCAAGATTAAAGTGACAAGGAGAAGCTCTATGAATTAGGAAAAACATACATTCACATGTGCAGAGAGATAGAAGGCAAGAAATTGAATTACTGAAGAATGAACTACTGAACACACATCTCATTGTGAAAAAATAATAGATATATTAATTTTTGGTAATAGTGTACATCCAATAGCTTTTATTTCAACTTGCTGCTTAAATAAGAGAGCATATCCTCTTTTTTGAAACACTACAGACATGTACACATCCAGAATTTTTTTAATATTCAATGTTCACTCCAGCAAAGCTGCGGCCACAGAAAGCTGAATAGCAACAGAAATTTCTTAAGATAAGCTATAGCTAAAAATGTAAAAGAGACAGTGAACAATCCATACATAATCCTCTGTGGTTACGCATTAAGGGTTCAGTATGCCACATGACTTGGGAAAGAATTATTCAAAGAAGTCAGCTGGGATTTCAGCAAGTGCCTTTAACCATTCTATCAACAGCAGTTTAGAATTTCTAACTGTTGCAGTTTTAAGATATCCAATAATCTCATTTGCAGAGGTACAGAACATTTAGCCCACAGGCCATTTGCAGTTTCCAAGGTACTGCAGAACTTCTATAGGCATCTTCAAAATATTAGTTCATAGTTTAAAAATAAGGGGGGAGGGCAGTAACCCTAACTCATAATGAGCAGTGCCTTAAAGCAAATTAAAAACTAAACAATTTTTTGTGGCATAAACATTCGTGCCACAATGAACTAGTCCTTTAAGGTGTTGAAAGACTTTCTCTTGGCTTGCTATATGAGACAAACAGAGCTAACTTGCTGGAAATGAGGTAAAAAGTATGATTCCAAGATCTACATAGAAAATAGCTTTCAGTATTTTTTTCCCAAAATCAAATACCTGTTTTGCAGAGTATAGAGCAGGTGCTTTAAAAACATATTACATACTTTAATGATGAACCATACACCTCTGTTGACCAAAAGGTCTGTGTCCTGGTGTGTATATGCCCAAAGTACACAACAGGGGAAGGTTTTCTTTTAAAGGATTTAGTCACAAGAATTACCAGCTACCAATGAATCCTTCCAGATGGCACACCTGAGCACACTCAGTTGGCCCTCCCACAAAAGTAAACAGTTACAATGGTGTGATCTTTTCTACTTGCACACCAAAGAAAATGCTGTGAAGGAGGGGGGAAGATGGGGTGCTATTTCATAGAAGAGGAGGAGGATGGGGTGTGCTGGTGTGAATTGCCCTTTGTTTGACCTGCTGTTGTCTGTCAAGTGCCAACTAGCTTTCTCTGGAATGGTGCCTGGTCAGTGCCAGCTACATTTCAAGGATGCACACATGCTGATTTCTAGAAAAGTGGGTCTTTCTTAGGCATGGTTATGTGGCAATGACTGCATGATTTACCTAATGAAAATTCTATCTATTGATTTGCGCATCACCTGTTTTTCCATGCTGCCTTTTTTAGGTCATCCTTAAGGTAGTCCTTAAGAATAACAAAACTGCTTCATGGTGATCCTTAAAAAAGAAAAAGCACATACTTGCACACACATTTGTGCAATTTCAAAACACAGAATAAGTAGAGACACAAGCAGAATCCTTGATTTTCTATTTTAATCCTTAAGAGTCTGACTGAGTTTAGAATAGAATGCATACTCATAATTTTGCATCTTTTATTTATCAATAAATGAAGTTGATTAAGAATTTGTAAATCAATATATTTCAGGTACATCATAATCCTAAATTTAAAACCCACTAATTTCATCTAAGCTACAAAGCTTCATAAACCAAATTTAATTTTCTTTATGGACAGATATAATTAACTAATGGTACAGGAAGAAGGTGAACATGCTAAAATTTATTGCTAAATTCAAGCACCTGTCAAGAACGGCCTACAACCCCACAGAAACCAAGATGGCCTTGGGTCAATGCCAAGATTGTATAAAAGAACGCAAAAGTCTTCCTTTCTGTTCAGAACACCTTGCAACATGTTATTTGCCCAATGAATTCTGCTTTCTTTCACTTGGTTGATCATAAGTAGGCAACTGTTTAATCTCTTGATGTATAGCAGCTTTCAGTATTAGCACTAACAGTATTATTTGCCAGACTAGATTCTTTATTCCAGCTAAAACTAATATTCAAGAGTATTAGTTCTCTCAATTCAGGAAATTTTTCTTTACTTCAGGTTCTTATGTTATTCCATTTACCTTATCAATTTATAATAGCCATTGATCAAATAGATTTGGTTAAATAAGAAAGATACTCTTTTATAGATGCTCTCCTTTAGAACAGATACTTTTCTTTAGTTCCAGATATACAGCAGTGTGTCATTAAAAGGTACCCTTCCACCTTCCATTTTCCATTTTTTTTAAGATAACAGAAATAGTGAAATGGAAAACTACTGTAGATTGCCCTGATGACACACAATACACCGCAACCCTACTCTGCTGCCGAGATAGAAAATATAATTAACATCTTACTGTCATCCAGCTCAAGACAGAGATTATATACAGCAATGGGCCTCTTATTACGTTGCCCTTGTCTTCTTGATTGTCGTGGTGGAGCATTTGGAGGAGACACTGACGCAGAGATTGGCTCGGGGAAAGGCAGAGTTTGGAAAATCTGTGAAGAGTAACACAAAGAGCATAAATTATTTACTATGAACAGCAAATTATATCAATGCAACTGTAAGCTATTAACAAAACATGTTTTCTATTCCACTGAAAGCAGAAAGGAGCCAAAATTGTATTCTTCGAGGAGTGTGCCATTGTTTTTTAAATAAATACAAAATTAAAATTAAGCCTAAATGTCATATATATCAAGTGTTATGCCAATCATTTAAATTCACAGAGTTAAGCATGAGCAATTCTGCTTGCCAGCTGTTAAAGCAAAGAGAAAGAGAAATAAGGATTAGTAACAATGAAACAAAGCAAGTCAGAAGAGGCCTCTGGGGCCATCTAGTCTGATCCCTGGCTCCAGCCGTCTCTGCTTATGACATGCTTATCACGTGCATGTCCAGTCTATCCTTGAACACCCTCACGAATGGGCCTTCAACTACCCCCATGGGAGCCCATTCCATACCCTTGGGATCCTAAATGTCAGGAAGTACTTTCTGGCATCCAAATTGAACCTGGGTTCCCTGAGATTTGCTCCATTGGAATGCATCCTGCCCTCCTCCACAGAGGAAAACAAGTCTCTATCCACCTCCGAGTGGCAGTCTCTCACGTATCAATATTCTGCCAACATATCCCATTGAAGACTCCTCTTCTCAAGGCTGAAAAGACCGTTCCCTCAGGCTCGCTTCATATGCCTTTCCCTGCAATCCAGCCACCATCCTTGTGACCCTATGTTGTCTTGATTCCAACCTGGTTATATCCTTCCTATAATGTGGAGTCCAGAACTGAACACAATACTCCAATTGCGGGTGCACCTGAGTCATATAGACAGGCGGCAATACCTCTCTCGATCTAGAAGCCATGTCTATGGCTATGCAACCAAGGATGACTCATGTTTAGCCTGCATTTGGACAGTACCCTGAGATACCTTTCATAAGTGTTGCTCTCCAGCCATTTGTTCCCTAACCTGTACTTATGGCATCCATTCTTATGCCCCAAGTGCAAGACCTTGCACTTATCTGATTGAACACAATCTTGTTGTCCCCTGCCCACTTTCACAGTCTGTCCAGATCCTTCTGAATCTGGAGTACCTGCTCCTCAGTTGTGACCACTGCCCACATTTTAGTATCATCTGCGAATTTGATCAGCAAACTCATCACCCCCTCTTTCAGGGACAGAACCCTGTGGGACCCCATTTGTCACTAGTCGCCATCCCAATGATTCCCCACTAATAGTTACTCTCTGCTCTTGGTCTGTCAACCATGCCCCAATCCATTACACAGTGCATTGGTCTATCCCAAAACTCCTCAATTTCTTTGCCAGTATATCATGCAGCACTTTGTCAAAGGCCTTGCTGAAATTCAGGTAAACTACATCTACCACATCCCCTTCATCTAGCCACCTCAAAACCTTGTTATAGAATTCCACAAGGTTCATCTGGCAGGACCTGCTTTTGTGGAACCCGTGTTACATGGCTGCCAACCTCCCTTCCCTACCTAGAGTTACTAGATCTCTCACTATTATGAGCCTTTCCATTGTCTTTCTTACAATTGATGTAAGGCTAACTGATCTGTAATTCCCCATCTTGCCTCTATTAACCTTTCTGAACACTGGGACCACTGATGCCACCCTCCAGTCCTCTGTAACCTCACAGAGTTTGCACATATTTTCTTCTACATAAACAGAATTCATTTCCTGGTTTATTTCATTATCAGTTGTTTACAAATTATTTCATTATATTTCTTACAGGTGATCTGAATTAGAAAAAAACAATCAACTAATAAATAAATACCTTACCACATAATTAATCACAAATTAAAGCACAGCAAATAAAGTAAAAAGCTAGATGGAACAAACAAGTCCATCCAAAACAGTTGAAACAAGTTCAATAAAATCCCACATGCCACACTTGGGAAATAATCACAAAGCACTGAAACAACTTTGCAAATCCAGAATGACTGCCCTTATAACAGCTCAAGGAACCACTGTGTTTTGCAGTGAAAGAAAGCCACAAGCCTAGGTACTGTGAAGGGCCACGTCATGGTTCCCCAAGGCATCATAGCAATAACACACAATATTTGACCTTAAAGTACAGAAGATAAAAATAAACACAAGTCAGGTCTGCCTTGGTATAATCATAGCCCCTGAGCAACTCAGTCTGAAATACTGCAACAGCAATATCCTGCAGCTGACTCAGATTTGTAAAACACTACGAGTAGCTTCCTTATGAGGTAGGAAAGCCCCAAGACTAAGAAATATTTGCCTTGTGAACATAAATCCCTACCTTTGAGCCACCTATCCCAGGTAGAATTCCAGTTTCTGAACAAGATTCGGAAATCAGAATTGGCCTGTTAAGATAGCTAAGGATGCAAACCCAAATTACAGGATTCAATATCAAGTTTGTTTATCCCATTTCAGAACAAATACTGCATTCATAAATATGTAGGCATTTTAACTTTCATGAACTATTCTGCTCTGAGATGACTGGACAGAAAGTTGACCTCAATCATTGGTACATAAGGCTTGATGGAGAGCAAAAAAGATAGGAAGATGTGAACAACGATGGTCTACCGACTGCACAGTGGTCTGTAAAAATTGACTGCATAGTGACTAGTGAAATTAAGAAGAATCTGCTAGAAGCCAGCTGGTCAGCTTATGGCACTGAGGACTTTTCAGATGGCCACAAGCTCAGACATAAGGTACAAGCTGCAGCCTGAGATGCTACAAAAATAGTTAATAGAAAAATCTAATATTCCTTCTATTTTGAAATATAAATAAAAGAAAAATGTGAAGGGACACATGAACAAAGACATAATATGGATGGGCAGAAGGGATAAGAAAGAGGGGTGCATCTGAATATCCTGGTATTTTATAACAAGTAGTTTGTGGTAAGATTCCATTTCACCTACATTCTCTAAATAATCTTTCCAATCTGCTTTGCATAAATGTATCTAAATCTGTGCTTTTACTCAGCTACACGCACTTCCAAAATAATCTCTCATCCCATTGCAAATGTCAGTGTTAACTGGGAGCTGGAATACAGTAGGAATCAACTGGCTAAGTAAAATGGACAAGATATATGCTTTCCAGCTAGTGTCACAAAAGGCTTTTTAGCTCAGGGAAGCCACCTCCAGGCTAGTTCTAAAATCAAGTGAAAATGTTTCTACTCCAACAATGTTTGGAAGATTAGAGGGATTTTTGCTAAGGCCTAGAGGTTAAATGATATTTCCCCTGCTATGTGCTCTATAGTTTTTAATTTACTTCTCATATTACATTTTTACTTATTATTGTGTAACATAGTTTTTATTGTTCATTTGTTACAGTTTAGATAGCTGCCTTGAGAAGATAGCTCAGATGTAAGTATTAAAAATAAAATAAAATGCTGGGCTGAAGCTGTCACATAAATTACATGCAGTAATATATGTGAATATAGTATATGTGAGGCTTCGGCAAGGGGCGGCATAGAAATGTTTTAATAAATAGATAGATAGAGTTGTTTGGAGCTTTAAAATGCTCATTCTTCATATATTATTATTTATTATTATTACAGTACATTTCTCTGGGCAATTGACAACATTTAAGTCACATTTCCAGATTTCAGTCAGGCCTGACCCTGCTTAGTTTCGAAGATTGGGTAGGATCATATACTCTTGGCTATATAGAAGCTATACAGATAGTTGATATACCAACTATCTCTGGGATTTATAATGCAATTGTTCAAGGAATCATTATTACTTAGTGCAATTTAAATATTTGCATAAATTTCAAATTTATTAACCCAAAGCAAGTGAAATGATTTAAACATAATGAAGGACATTTGAGTTTTCTTGGGCTATTTGAAATCCATATCCAAATGAAGTATAACTTAATAATAGGCAAGTTGATCAGCATATTACAATGGAAGTGTATCCTTAGTAAGGTTACAGCTGGCATATTTCATTTCTACATGATTCATGAAATCAAAGAATAGTAGAGTTGGAAGGGGCCAGAGGGCCATCAGGTCCAACTCCTTGCTCAGTGCAAGCCCCTAAATTAGACCATCCCTCCCAGATAGCTATCCAGTTGCATCCTGAATGCTTCTAGCGTGGGAAAGCCCATAACATCCTTAGGCAATTGGTTCCATTGTACTGCTCTAACAGTCAGGAAGTTCTTCCTGATATTCAACTGCAACATGGCTTTCTGTTATTTGAGACCATTATTCCAAGGCCTGCTCTCTGGGATGATCAAGAAGAGATGTAATTATTAGCATGTAACCTAATGAGTGTAAGACATTGGGACAAATGGCTTCCAACATTTCTTTAAATCACTCCATTTGTGCTCTTTAAACAAACAGTAACAAACAGCATCTTTAGCCCTCAGGATATCCTATTAAAATGGATTTCCCTGCCTATGCTCCCAAATTTTGAATCTTGCATATCCTTCCGTCTCAATTCACGTTTCTTACCTGATTCATTAGCTTGGCTGGTATCACAAATCCCTCCATATCTGTTTCTTTGCACTTCCATAGCCTAAGTAAACCCTTGGATAGAGTTCCTCAGCTGTAACCTCCCTTCTGTACTTCTTAACAACAAATATACAAAACAAGCTTATTTCCAAGACAAAGGATACAGCTTGTTATGCAGAAGTCATTTACGAGTAGTATGCTTTGGAACTGACTAGGGCTTCATTTTCATGGGGTTACACCTATAGCATAGCACATATTTTGCACGAAGGTGGCTCTCAGTTTGAGTCATGGCATTTTGAGATAAACAAATCTCAGGTAACAGAGCAACAAGTTCTAGACCATGAACAACCACTGCCAGTTTGAGAAACAGTATTACTATATTAAATTGATCAATGACCTGATACAGCAGAAGACAGTTGGAGGTGTTGGCAACTACAGGATTCTTTTTTAGTTTATATTTTCATCCTTTCCTTCTTATTTTAGATCACTTTCTTATTTTTAAACAAATTGTTTTCTTGTTGTCAAGTTGCCATAAAATGTAGATAACCTAGGGTCAGTTGACT